ATTGCAAGTGATTGCTTTCGTTTTCAAGATTGGTCTAGCAGTTAAAGGGCAAAAAGTTCATTCACCTTTGGTCCATTAGTTCCAGCGACTGAAATTTATGTGGATTAATTCATTTCATTGTAGAAGCACTATAAACTAGTATGTACTGAAACTAAATTTCCTTAATATTTTTTTATTCTTAGCAGCACCTTTTCTAGCAGCTGCCAGTTTGGATTGTTGCCCTTAAGAGCTTTAATGCTAGTTTTCTACATGCCTTATGTACATTCCACTAATGACATTCTTATAGTAATATAAACATATGATCTTGGTACTAACATACTCACTGTGAATTGTGCCTGTCGCAAAAATGGAATCCTTTTATAATACTATCTAAGGGATATCAGCACAACAAAACTCTGGGAGAAAGTGGAGGTTTTTGTTTGTTTTGTTTTGGGTTATTAGATTAATTTTGTAGGAAAACTATGTCTGTTTTCAGATCACACTGGTAATATAGTTTTAATATATGGCTTTTCCATATAGGTTCAATGAAAACTGTACAAATTTAGGTTTGTGTAACTACTCTCACATTGGAATTATATATAAATATCTTCAGTAGTCTTTTAATGTTAAGAAGTTATTATTTATGTTGGCATGTTTTCTTGTGAAGTGAATTAATCAAGTATAGAGATGCAAAATGTTCTCTTATGTTCTTAGTTAATATCTTTGTATTGAGCACATTTGGTGACTTAAAAGCAAAGATTTTTCTTGACAACTCTAGGTCTGTAAGTCTAGGTAACAAGTGATAGTAAAACCAATAGCTTTAATAGAAGAATAGGGAATGAAAAATGTAGAAATCCGCGATGAAAGACAAAACTAAGAGAGATGGTTGAATGATAAATTTTGGTACTTGTTTTCTACCTCCTAAAAATGTAGCCTATTTTTAGGGTTTAAAATCACTAAGTTACTAACTATCCTTGCCAAATGATCCTGTCAATTTTGTTCTAATTTTTTAAAGGTCTTTCAACCTCACCTCATATTTATCAACAAAATATATTTCAAGAACTTATGGGGGTAAAATATCAGCAATAAGCCTATCCTTATGACAAAGTCTAACAGGAAAGTTGGAAACAAAGCCATTACTATCTCTCTGTGATACCCTGAACTAAGTCTTCCATATGAACTTTAGGCTCAGAGTTTCCTATGTATTACCCACACCCCAAATAAGTGATTTTTCCCTGTTTTATGCTGTCTACTATGTTGTCTTTAATTGTGTAAAGTTAAAATTATTTAAGTTTACAATTTGTTCTTCCATATGGCATTAAGCAAATAGATCCATTTTAAAATATTTTCCTGTCATGTGGCTAACTCATTGTCTTTTTAAAGGGAAAGTAGAGAATATTGGGTCTTCATAATAAACTTTAAGAAGAACAAATTGATTGACTTGATGTCTCAGATTCTGAAGTGAAAAAAAAACAACATAGCTTTGGTTGTTAGTTAAACTTTAAATGTTTTTCCATTTTTAACGTTTTTAAGCTAGTTATGCCAGCTGTGTTTTGCAACTAAAAGTTAATGTTTCATATTTAATTTAAAAACCAATAATTCATTTACTCTTGCCCCAAACTAAATAATATATTTCTCATGTACACACAAAATAGAATTAAATAGAAAAAAGAGGTCAAACAGAACTTTAGATCACATTTTTTTGTAGTACTGATAAAAACTTGCTCATTATATTCTATTCAAAGTGAGATTCTTCCTATTTTAGAAAACCACAGCTCCTGCAGCAACACTCAGAATGTCCAAATATTGCCCTTCCCTTTATGGAGAACAGTTTCAAGTAAAAGCTGCATATAAACTAGCAATAACTGAATTGAACTGTTGTGTATTGTTCATGAATTATATGTTTTAAGACATATATGTCAACTGCTTTTCCAAACTCTGTATAACTTTTAAATAGCTGGAACTACTCTTGTATGGACTAGACTGTATTTTTGACATGCTTGTATTTTTATAACTTGAAGAAATAAAATTTGCCTTGTAACAGGTTTTCTCAAACTTGTTTTAAGGTCTTTTGATTTTTATTTTTAGGCTCCAGAATATATACTTGTTTGTTTGTTTTTTTAATGATATGATGTTTTTCAAATTAAAAAAAAATTAGATTGTTGAAAAGTGTCTATCAGCTCTTGAAATATTCTTTGTTATTTTTAATAACCCACCCTGTTGTTCCTCTTTTCCCATCTCGTGTTCACATTCCCAAGATCTGTTGAAGGTAGCAGTGAAGTTTTTGGTGATAAGTTAGAAATCTTAACCTTGAGAAACTAGCCAAAATGCTACATTCAGTAGCCAGTGAAACCAAAATATAACTGGTTTCCAGCAAGAATGGTCCCTTAGCTTTTTTTTTCTTCTATTAAGCCAGAGGGTATGTGCAGAAGAGAGAGGAAATGAGAGAGAGAGAAAGCATCCCCTATTGAGACCTAGTCAAACTGCAATCCTTTTTCCTCCAGTACTCCATGTTATCAGGATCCCAGGTACACACATGCATACCTGGTTTGTAAGCTGCCAAGGCCAGGATTTGAATCCTGGTTGGCCATGTGGGATCTGGCATCCTTTGAACAGCACTTAACGATGTGCTATTAGGCTGGCCTTACTTTAATCCTATATTTAAAATTTAAAATATCACCAAATACTTGTGGAGAAGACTGAAAAGAGACAAAATCCCCAATCCACTACCATACTTCATCTCTTCAAAAATGCTTGTTTTGTTTTGTTTTGTTACATTTTAACATTATTTATAAGATAAAATGATGCCATAAAATAATTACCTTTTCGACCCTTTCTCAGTGACACATAAAATAATGGTAAGTTTTATAATTGGCGGCATCTTAGATTGATGAAATGCAGTAATGAATTTTGCTTAGATAAAAGATGGTTAGGAATCTATTAGATCGCTGGGAAAGTCATGATACATTTTTCTGTGCAAAAATGTGTTAAGACTTACCCAATGACCCAATACTTAGATCTAAATTTTATAGACATTAGTGAAAGAGAAAGGTAAACTTAAGAGGCTAGTAATTCATGACTGAAATTGTCACCATGGCATCTGTGTTTCATACTAGCCTATATGGTTGGAAAAGCTGCAGATTTTATTTAAATGTGCATGCTTTGGAGATTTTGAGTAATAACATTTTCCTAGTTTGGAGAAAATGCCTTGTAATAAATGTATGTGAAAAAAATGCTAAGTCATCAGAAAAGTCATGATTTTCTATGCAAAAATGCTTCATGACTTTCCCGACAACACAATAGTTCCAGTATCAAAGGAAAAGTGCAGAGTTTGGGAAAGCAGTAAGAAATACAGAAGCCAAGGAGGTCTTGTGAGTTCTTTTATTCTGAAATTTTGCCAGATAGACTATTACTTAGAATTAGTGAGGCAGGAAATTTGGTAGAAAGGAACTTAATTACTGATTTTTGTTGTGTTCAATAGGATAGAAAGGATAAAGTGCACACTTATACTTTCTATTATGTTTGCTTTAACATAAATGTGTGCTAATTTAATGTGAATACACCTATTTAGGGGGGGATCAGTAGTGATCTTTAGCTTTTTGACTTGACAAATGGCTCGGTATGATAAAAATACTTCTTCAAACTCTTGTTACCAAACTCCGCTATATTCCATTAAATACTTTACCAAACACAGCTTTTTGTAAAAAAGATTTCTTGGTGATGCACAGCAGGTTATGAAGGTCAGTCTAGCTTTCTAGGGAAGCACTAAAAGGTAGGGAGGGTCTTAGGATACAGCATAAATTTGTATATACATCTCCTAGAAAGGTAACTTACCATTTTTTAGAGTACTTTTTGTTTGCCATAGGGCATGTGTGCTCATAAGAGAGAAAGACAGAGGACAGTGAGAGGGAAAGTGAGAAATCACACCCCAGGGGAATGGTCATACCACAATCCCTTCTCTATTTCCCTCCTGGGAACTTGGGTGCACACATGCACATGTGTGCATGCACACACACACCATGATTTTCAAGCCACAGGGTCTAGGACTCAAACCATGGTTGGCCATGTGGGAGTCCTGCAATGAAACCAGTATGCCATCTGCTGGCCCCCAAATTTTTACTGTTGGCCCACAGTAAGAAATATATTTTGGGAACCAGCAGATGGCATAATGGTTACATCACTAGGCTCCCATGTACTGGACCATGGTTTAAGTCCCAGATCTGGAGGCTTAAAATTCACGCCAGGCATGTGTGCATACATGCGCAAAATCCCAAAAGGAGAGTGAAAGAAAAGGGATTGCGGTGTGGCCATCCCCCCTGGCGGGGGGTGAGTTCTTGCTTTCTGTCTCTCTGTCTCTCTCCATCTCTTTGGTGACACATGTGCCCTATAGCAAAAATCTCTCTAAAAATAAAAAGTGTATTTTGTCACAACCCAGTATATAGATGCTTTAAAAAATGTAATTCCAAAAAAAACTCATGCTTAACCAGTTGTAGTGTGTTGCTGGTGTTTTCTATTTCATTCTATTAATTTTTAAATAAATCTTGGTCATAACCTGCTCAGTCAGTGATTTTTATGACTTAAAGGGTTGTACAACAGTTTGATAAATGCAAAACTAAGAGTAACCATTTTTTTGTTACTACTTTCTAGTGGGAATGTAGATAGAGTTGGCTTCCAGAAAGTGGTATCATGTCCCAGTGGTATCAGTCTGACTCAGAAGTGATCAACAACTTCTTTCTCTTCTCAGACTTGTTGTATGTGTTGAGGTCCACGCAGGGTTTTTCTCTTATTTTGTGGCTTGCACCAGGAGCTCAGAGCTAAGAAAGCAAATGTTGGGGCCAGCAGGTGGCATAGTGGTTAAGGCTCTGGACTCACATATGTGATTCAGTCCCAGACCTGGCAGCTTGCTTTCTCACTTTGTCTCTCTCTCTCTCTCTCTCTCTCTCTCTCTCTCCAGGACCTCCCACCCTTCTCCCTACTGTCGTGGCACCTTTGCCACCATCGTGTGAGATGTGGGATGAAGAAGGTCCTCCTGAGAGACTAAACTGAGAATCATGTTACACCTACACAGCACCCTTCAAGTCACCAAAGATGCCATCAAAGTTTCCATGCAAGAATGTGTTCTTCTGGTGTTTGAGGTGCGCTCCAGCCAGAAGCTTATGAAGAAAACCACCTCTGACCTATGAGATCTCATACTCCTATACACTTTTTTTAAAGAGGTTTTTGCCTGAGGGCATGTGCACTTACCAGAGAGAGACAGAGACAGTGAGAAAAAAAAATGAGAAACCACCCCCCCTCAGGGGAGATCGTCATGCCGCAATCCCTTCTCCATTCTCCTCTTAGGATTTTTGGCATATACAAGCACCCAGTATGATTTTCAAGCCACTGGGACCAGGACTCGAACTGCAGTTGGCTACGTGGGAGTCCAGCAACATAACTGCTACACCATCTGCTGGCCCCTTCCCATACACTTTATTCACCTTGTCATCAAACATAAGTCAGGGTTTGAGACTGTCCAGCAAATGCGGAGGGAGTCATTTTTATCACACTTGCATTTCTCAATAGTCACCCTACACCAGTTTCTAAAAATACCAACCATTTTGGCCCAAGCAACTCTGTAGACCTTAAGGCTTGAGTAAATTGAGTTTCGACTGTTTCAGCCTCTCTGAACTCCAGTGACTATCCATCCGTGAAGAGGTGGCTTAAATGACAACACTTTTGATGCTTATGGTTGAGAGTCTTGATCTTCTAGTCTGGATAACTGGGGTTGATTCTAAAATACAGCAACTGAACTGGAGTAAACTAGGTATTTGTCACATGCTTTAAAAGACATAAATGATATATTCGAATTAGCCAGAAATCCCACAAGGATGCAGAGCATGCTAAGAAATTTAGCAGAACCTTGAGCAAGTGTGAAATTATAAATGAAGTACACACAGCGCTTTGTGGCAAACATTCTTTGATGCCTGGAAACCGATACTGAATAAGCGTAAGAGCACAGGTAATAGAACGGTGAAGATTTACAAACCTTAGAGATAAGCCAGATGATCTGTTTGTTTTACAGAGAAAATTAAAGTCCATAAATGGGATTTTTCCCATAGGCATGCAATAAGCTAATGGTAGGTAGAGTCCAGAACTGGTGTATCCTGACCTTCAGATTCTTTCCAGTATGCCAGAACTTTGTCCAATTTGGGGGTAAATCATTTTCTTCCTACTGAGCAACAAGCCCTTGGGCGAGGTAGTTGCCTTCCCTACTCAGTCTTCACCCTGGGGATTCTCACTGTCCCAGAGCTCCCAGGAAGGATGTGGTGAGTCTGTGAGCCAGGTTAGCCAACACATCAGGAGCCCACCTCTGAGCTCTGGGAGATAACCTGAGGACATCCAGGAGGAGCCACAGTGTCCAGTTCCCCCCGTGAGGCAGAGCCTGCTATGCAGATGCCATGCAGTGTGTTTCCTCTCTGAGGAAAGCCAGATGTGGTTACCACAACAGAATCCCAACCGCCCTCCCCGGAGCAAACTCCTGGCCCACTCTCTACAAAGGCAGATTCCTGCTACAGAATCAATGGGACTCCCAGACTTTAGAAACAGGAGTATCCTCCCATCGGGTGTATTCCTGGCCCATGAGGCTGGGATGGTGCTGGAGACTAGGCCTAAAGTTTACCTTGAGAGTCCATTCACCCATTCCAGGAATATTTCTTAAGTATGTATCAAGTTCTAGTTACTATAAAAATTAAAACAAACAAACAAAAAAACCCGAAAGGTGCCCGAGGGCACCATTTAGCCCATGATAAATAGTCATTGGATAACTATGCTCTGGAGGCTCAAAATGAGGCTTGCTTCGATGGCGTTGATGAGATG